ATGATTTTTAAAGAAATACGCCATTAAAGGAAAAGATAAAGTCTTGCTATTTTTAAATGTACAACAAAACTTAACTAATAACGAAATAATGTTTGATTTTTTAGCTTGTCTTTCATCGAACCCTTATACTCGAAATTTGAGTTGATCTAAACCATCGATAGTCTAATGCAACTTAAAAAGATAGTGTATGTTAATTAAAATTAATTAAGTAGATTAAGTTGAGGATCATTTGCATTTAACGCTGGAACTAGAATCAACAAAAATTCTGGTGACTATATTCCCTTAATTAACATTAATTTTCTAAATTCATTAAAAAAATTGTAATCCTTGTGACAAACTATATTGGACGGCGAAATTAAAAACATATTTTTCCAACCTTAGGGCGTTTATTCTGACCTTCAGACGTTTGCGGCGCTCTCGGTAGAAAAAATAGTGTTCACCACACAAGTGGCATGCAACCGGGGCTCCCCGCAGTCCCTCTATACCGGGCACAAAATAGCACCGGTGATGAAAACTACTATTTTTTTTTCTTTTAAAATATTTTAACATTGTCTTAATGAGTTCTTTAGAATTTATTAAACTGCGATTAGCCAACACGTGAGTCTCCTTACCGGGAACATAATTAGTACAGTTAATTAAGACCTAGTAAGCTATCAGCAATGCTGTTAATTTTTTTTTTTTTTTTTTAAATATAACATTACATTTAATTTTTCTATTAGCTTCTTTTCATGAGTACAAAAAATGAAATGAAGAGAAAAAAATGAGGATTCACAGGCATATTGTACGTGGAGGAAAATAACAGCAATATACAGCATCAAAGATGTACAGGGTACCTCAATTTTGTTTAACCCAGTGCTGGCATAAAGGTAGTATTATAAAAAATTGATCGGTAAATAAGGTTACAAGAATCGTTTATTTTATTTATTTATTTTATTGTTTTTTTTAATTAAAATAATTTTTATTTAAATGCTTTTGCAAAATCACTTGGTCGATTCTTGCGCACTTAATATCGAACTGTATTGTATATTATTCGGAGACCGGAATGTATCAAGATAATTTTATTAATTTTAGATATGGATAAAATAAGCAGTCGTTTTCTGTGACCTTATCCGTCTTGGTATAATTTTTAACTATCGATTCGAACGGTGTAGTATCGATAACTTTAAACTCATGGTAATAATCTGTACATGTTGTAAAAACTCAACTAATTTGTGGGCTCAGAATCGCCGTTTCATTAGCGTTCTTTCATCATTTGGAAACCCACGTTTTTTTTTTAATTTGTCATGAAATGTGTTTGAAGAAATATGGTTTTTCCATTGTAACGTCAGCATAAAGTTGTACCTAAAATTTTTTTTAATTAAAAAATTTTAATCGTCTACAACAGTGATGCTTTGCACAATATGAAAGTAGACATGCCGTGTACGTGCATGCGTATGAAACAGTTTTGGGCTTAAAAATTCGAAAATAAGGAAGACGCGAAGAGAAGTGATAGTTAATGCAAATAGTTGTTGATACACAGTTCTTATCTGTATGGCACACAGAAGTGACAAAATAAATGAAGAAAAAAAAACTTTTTGATCGTTTATCGCGCTCTTGTTACTCCTTTATCTGTTATCTTTGCTGTTTATCTTTCTGAGTGTATGCGTAAGTGTGCACGTATGCACGCTCGTGTGCGTATTTGTACTCGCATTTCGCATATGTCACAATGATGAAACGACCATTATTGTATGCTGCGTATACTGAGTAACTGACTTACTGACACTGACAGAACACCGACTCGTACAAGTATCGGGAATTATTTTTAATGTTTAAACTTCCACCAGAGACATGACTGCAATTCACGAAACGATGGAAGTGATCGAAGTTGTTGGTGACCCTTATTGCGTTACCAAAATGCTATGCTTGATAGGAGTATTATTAAAAAGTGTAGGCTTATGGTTCCTAGTAAGTGCTAAAGTGACACTACTCATACAAATCCTTTGGTATCAAAATTATGCTGGTAAGTTTTTGCGATTATTGATTCATATCTCTGTGTGTGCATGTGTGTGTGTTGTAAAATCGTGTACTTTCCCACGTAACAGTACATCGAGGAAATGAATATTTTTTGAAAAATAACCTTACTCTGGTATGTAATTGTTGGCACAGGTATTTGTAAAAGTCTACAGTTCTGTACTCAACTTCCTGCTTTTACTTACAAGCGTACCACTGAGAAATTTGATAGCTTGGTGGTTAGCGTTCTACTTTTCCTGGCGTAATAAACTTGACCGATACGTTGTTTCGATACTCGAATATTTTTTAAATCTTTTTCTGATATATATATATATATGGTGTATTGCAC